CTCTGCTGTCCCTGCGGCGGCGGGAATGGCTGGTGGAGGGAGAGGGAGCTGCTGCTAGAAATGCCATGGGAGGGGGGATTCAGTGTCTCCCTGCCGTCCTCTGCAGAGCAGACACGTTCCCCACCAGAGCAGCTCCCTGGTCTCTCCCACCCAGCAGATACTCCCACCCTTAATGTCACAGGGACTTGATCGTGAGTTTCCTTCCCAGCAGCCCAAGCACAACAGAGGAGAAACACTCCGGTGTCCAGCTGTGTCTCCCTGTCCTGATTCCCTTGGCAGGAGCACTTTGAATTTTCCCCTTGTCCTGCTGCCCTTCTTCTTCCCATGGAATCACTGGTGGTGGGGGGTGAGGATTAAGGTGCAGCTCAGACATCCACGCTGCTTGTTCTCTCATGCAGATGGATCCACGGAGGAAGAGCATCCATGTCCCCTCCTAACGTTTGTGTCTCTGGGTACTGCAGTATACAGGGCTGACAGTGAGCTTACCCTTCCTCCAGGGCACCTCATCTTTTCCGTGGGGCAGGGGTGGGGGGTCCTGCTCTGTCACAGGCTGCCCTCCAGCAGGGCACATCTCTCCCATGGCTTCTCTGTCTCATCCAGCAGCCCCATGGAGACGACACCTGGATGCCAAGGATATGGAAATGTTGCTGAATGCAGTATGTGGGCAGCTGCCAGGAGCCCTCTGTGTCCCTGGCTGGGAGGGGAGTGCTGAGATCCTCCTCATCTGCAATGAGACAGGACGGAGGGTTTGGAGAGCTGTGCTTAGAAACCAGATTCCTCTGCTCTCAGCAGTGTCTAGTTTCCTCTCAGGGAATATTTGAGCGTGATCGTCCTCCAGCTCAAAGATGTGCCCAAACAGGGCAGCTGAGAGCAGGACGCATGGACAGACTGGTCCTCCTCATCATCCGTTAAGGGACAGTCCCTTGGCTTTTCTGATCCCACAAGGTTTTACTTGGAGTGCTGCCGAAATTCCAAGGATTTCTGCCCTAAAAGCTCTCCTCAGGTGTGGTGAGGAAACTGGAACAAAAAGAACAAAACCAAATCCCCACAGCTGTGCTCTGCTGTTGGACAAATTGGGAGTGACAATGTTGGGAAGCTCTGTGACATCATGAGTGGATTTAATCTGAGCTCACCCCCTGTTCCTATTTACCTGTTTCTACAGGGCAAGACTGACTCCTGCAGAGCCCCTGCTCCCAGTCGCACCCTCAGTCAGCACCAGCGCGAGATAACAACAGGGACCTGCTGAAGGTCTTTCTGAAAGGGAAGGGACAGGCAGGGGCAGAGGTGGGGGAAGTGTTTCTATGAGATAGAATGGTCTGTTCTCAGAAAAGTCTGCTGTAATTTAACATTGATTTTCCTCCTTGGACAGTTCCCAATGCCCTCATGCAGCAGATGTCTAACGAGAGCTTCATCACCAAGTTTCTCCTCTTGGCATTTGCAGACACACGGGAGCTGCAGCTCTTGCACTTCTGGCTCTTCCTGGGCATCTACCTGGCTGCCCTCCTGGGAAATGGCCTCATCATCACCACCATAGCCTGTGACCACCACCTCCACACCCCCATGTACTTCTTCCTCCTCAACCTCTCCCTCCTTGACCTGGGCTCCATCTCCACCACTGTCCCAAAATCCATGGCCAATTCCCTGTGGGACACCAGGGACATCTCCTACTCAGGATGTGCTGTGCAGGTCTTCTTGGTTTTCTTCTTTATCACAGCAGAGTATTGTCTCCTCACCATCATGGCCTATGACCGCTACGTTGCCATCTGCAAACCCCTGCACTACGGGACCCTCCTGGGCAGCAGAGCTTGTGTCCACATGGCAGTAGCTGCCTGGGTCACCGGGTTTCTCAGTGCTGTGCTGCACACGGCCAATACATTTTCACTGCCCCTCTGCCACGGCAACACTGTGAATCAGTTCTTCTGTGAAATCCCCCAGATTTTCAAGCTCTCCTGCTCACACTCCTACCTCAGGGAAGTTGGGCCTCTTCTGGTTGGTGTCTGTTTAGGCTCTGAATGTTTTGTTTTCCTTGTGTTGTCTTATGTGCAGATCTTCAGGGCCGTGCTGAGATTCCCTTCTGAGCAGGGACGGCACAAAGCCTTTTCCACGTGCCTCCCTCACCTGGCCGTGGTCTCCCTGTTTGTCAGCACTTGCATGTTTGTCTACCTGAAGCCCCCCTCCTTCTCCTTCCAATATCTAGACCTGGTGATATCAGTTCTGTACTCGGTGGTGCCTCCAGCAGTGAACCCTCTCATCTACAGCATGAGGAACCACGAGCTCAAGGATGCGCTGTGGAAAGTGGTGACTGGATGTGTTTAAGCAGCAATAAACTGCCCATCTTCTTCTGCGTATCACTCACAATTTGACTCACTCCATGACCAGCTTGTCTTTGGTAGTTGCTTTTGGTTGGTTGGTTTGTAGCTTTTCTTAGTAGTACTAATGTTGTCCAGAAAGAAAAGTCATTATTCATTGTTCACACAATTCAGTATCCGTTCCTAATTCAGTATCCGTCTGTCCTGTGTGACCAGAGACTGCGTAATGTCGAGTTGTGCTCTCTGTGTTATAAAACAAAAGCAAGGGCCCTGCAGTGATTGGTTTATCCAAGAACCTTTCGCCAAGACCTTCTCTGGGGCTGCAGGGGCAGTTCCTGTGTGCAGAGGTGGAGGGGAGAACAGTCCCAGCACAGCAACAGTGCCAGGGAGCACCAGGTCTTGGTGTTTCCTGAGCTGCTCACTTTCCACCTCCATGCTCTCGTTGTGAGCCTTTGTGTTGGTGTAAGGTCTGCGTGCTCCAGGACCTTTATCACAGCCCTGCGGTGTGGCAGTTTGTGCCAGCAGGCAGGGACAAGCCATGGGCACTTCTGTGACAGGGCTGATGTCCATAACAGCGTTTCCATCATGAAAGGTGATCTTCTAAGGGTAGGGCCTGAAGGCTTAGGTCTGCTTCTAATGATATTCTCAAGAACATACCCAGGAGAATGCACTGGAGAAAAATCAACCATGAACAGGTGTCGTTTAAGAACCACACAGGCACTTGCTTACTCTGCCCTGATGGGATGGGGGAGAGAACTAGAGGGGTGAAAGTGAGAAAACTGGTGGGTTAAGATAAAGACAGTTTAACAGGTGAAGCAAAAACCGCATACACAAGCAAAGCAAAAGAAGGAATTAATTCAGCGCTTCTCGTTGGCAGGCAGGTGTTCAGCCGTCTCCAGGATTTCAGGGCTCTATCACAGAATCACAGAATGTTCGGGATTGGAAGGGACCTCAAAGGATCATCTAGTCCAATACCCCTGACTGAGCAGGACCACCTAGATTAGCTCTATCGCACGAAGTGGTTCTTTGGGAAGACAAACACCATCACAATGTCTGCCCCCCTTTGCTATTCTTCCCTCAATCTTCTATACCGCAGATGACATTATATGGTATGGAATATCTCGTTGGCGCGTTTGGGTCAGCGTCTCCGGCTGTGCTCCCTCCCAGATCCTTGTGCACCTGCACTCTAGCAAAGCATGGGAATTTGGAAAGTTCTTGATTTCTTAGCAATAACCAAAACCATCAGTGTATTATCAACGTTCTTCTCATACCAAACCCACACAAAACCCACCCCCGGCGCTGTTCTAGCTACTAAGAAGAAAATTAACCCCATCCCAGCCGAAACCAGGACAACAGCTGAAGTGTGTGAGTGTGCAGGGTGGGGGCACATGACAGTGTCCTTTCATGGCCACGTTTCCTGGGAGAGATGATGTTGTGATTTAACACCAGCTGAAAATAAGTACCACGTAGCTGCTTGTTCACTTGCCACCCCCTGCAATGGGATGGGGAGGAGAATCAGAAAAAAACTCATAGGTTGAGATAAAGACTGTTTAATAGAACAGGAAAGAAAAAAGGTAATGATAATAATAATAATAATGATATAATAAAAGAATATCCAAAACAAGTGATGCACTATAAAATTGTTCACCACCTGTGGACCAATGCCGAGCTCATTTCTGAGTAGCGATTGTGCTGCCCCGGCCAACTCCCCCAGTCTCTATACTGAGCATGATGTTATATGGTATGGAATATCCCATTGGCCAGTGTCCTGGTTTCGGCTGGGACAGAGTTACTTTTCCTTTTTAGCAGGTAGAAGAGCTCCATGTTTTGGATTTAGTCTGACTTTTGTTATGAGAAGAATGTTGGTAGCTATGCTGGGTTTTCCGGAGGGGCTGCAGAAACGGCCCCTGTAAGTAGCTGTGACAAAGCTTAATGTACTGACTTTAGGTGACGGGGTTTGTCAGCACGGGAGGGGTTGTTACGTGACGGACTGTGGAAACGGCCCCTGTAAATAACCGTTGGAAGCTTCCTCAGCTCCAAAACCGATTGGACCGACCTCTGGCCAGGTCAGACCCCCCATCATCTCAGGCCAGGGCTGAGCCAATCAGCGCCTCTGCGAATGCCCTATTTAATATGGGGACAAAGGACCCTGAACTGGGGCTGGACCAACACTGAAGAGAGAGGAGAGGCAGCTGCCCGTGCTGGGCTGCCACTACCCAACTGGAGATGGCTGCAGCAACGCGATTTGGAGAGCCGCAACACGCTCCACTCCTGGGACACCATCTGGGAACAGTTTGTCTTGCCAGAACCGCTGAGGTTCGTCAAGACGGCCAAGGACAGGGAAGATGAAACGGGAGGAGGTGTGCTGGAGCTGAGATTCCCCTGCAGCCTGTGGTGAGATGGCAGGTGGCCCCTCTGCCCCTTGTGGAGATTAACAGTGGAGCAGAGATCCACCAACAGATTTTGGAGAACCCCACGCTGGAGCAGAGATGCCTGTGCCTGAAGGAGGTTGCAGAGAATGGTCTCTGTGAGATGCTGGAGACTGATAATGAGGCAGAGAGGCACCTGAAGCCCGTGGAAATCCCCATACCAGAGTGGGTGGCAGCTCCCTAAGAAGCTGTGACTCTACAGGGAAGAAGCCCCAGCTGGAGCAATTTGATGGGTAAGGATTGCATCCTGTGGGAAGGGCTCACATTGGAAAAGTCTGTGCACCGTCTCATGAAGAAGGCTCCATTGGAGCAGTGGAAAAGAGTGTCAAGAGTCGTCCTCCTTTAAGAAAGGAGCAGCAGAAACATCGTTTGATGAACTGACCTGCAGTCCCCCATTCCTTGTCCCCCTGCACCGCTGAGGGAGGAAGTAGAGAGGTAGAGCTGGGAAGAAGGGAGAGGTGGAGGGAAGATGTTTTTGAGATCTGGCTTTGTGTCTTGTTATCCTCTCTGAATGAGCTGTTAATGAATTAAATTGATTTGTCCCAAACTGAGTCTGTTTTGCCCATGGCCATGTATGGTGGGTAATCCCTCCCTGTTCTTCTCTCAACCCTCAGGCCTTTTGTTACATTTTTCTCCTCTCCACCTCACTGAGGAGTGAGTAGAGGAGGAGGAGTGAGTGAGCGATCTCGTGGTGCCTGAGCTGCCCACTGGGCTAAACCATGACAGACCTCCAGGCAGAGTAACTCACATTGACCACATCCACCCAAGCCTGACTTGGACACAAGACCGTTGTGGGGAATGATGCTGAAAGCCTTGCTGACCTAGAGGTAAAAGACAACCACTGCTCTCCCCACGTCCAGCAATCCTGTCCTTTCATCAGAGAAAGTCTAGAGGAAGGCCAGGCACGACCTTCCAACGGTAAATCCAGTCACCTTCTCTTGCTGATATCCAGAAATGGGATCCAAGTGCCCACACTCTGGGGACAGCCTTTGGTTCCCCTGCTCTCTCCTTGGGCCTTTCAGAAAGTACATGCAGCATTTGGGAGTTTCCCCAGTCTCCATCTCCTTTCAAAGATGATGGAGAGTGGCCTCACTGTGGCATTGTCCTGCCCTCTCAGCTCCCTTGGGGTTCCACCCCTCCAGCCTTGTAGACTGGTGAGGATTGTATTTGCTCAAGTTAACTCCTGACTTAATCCAAATTCACCGATGACTGTTTTTCTCCGGAGTCCTGCCTCAAGGCACAAAGGCCTGGGAGACCTTGCTGGAGAAGACTAAGGCAAGAAGGACGTAGAGAATCTCAGATCTAGCTACTCCTGTTACTAAACCCAGCAGTGGCCACTCATTCTGTTACTTCTTTAATTGTTCCTCAAGCAGCGGCAGCTTCTCTTGGTGCCCTTGAACGCCTTGCAAGGTTCTACATTTGGGAAGCTTTAGCTCCCTATGATGGGGGATAGGTATAGGTATAAAACTATATTAGCTACTATTTCTATAGATAGGTATAGGTATAAAACTATATTAACTATTATTTCTATGGATAGGTATAAGAGCAGACACAAGACTGCATAAAACTCTGGAATACAGAGCTCTGTGAAATAGCTGTGTGAAATGTTAGAAGTTATCAAATACTAATCCCTGCTGTCGAATGCTATCCAGAAAGAAGGTCGGTAAGAGAGACAAAATAAATGATGGCAAGGTTGTAACTCATGACCCATAGGGAGAAAAACAGACAAAGAGGAGAGATAAGGACTAACAAGAACTAACATTTGTCTTCAAGCAATAACAAGTAGGAGACAGCCAGGTGTCCACTCAAGGCCAGGGAAACGGTTTGGCTCTATGGGCCCAGCCAAAACAAAAGTTTTAGGGAAGAAGTGAAAAACACACAGCGAGGAAGACCTGCGGCCTTCATCCCAAAGACCCCTGCCCACGACCACCAGGAGGCGTGTCAAGAAGGAGCCTGAGGTGGATCCTGAGGCAAGGACTATGGAAATGATCTCCCGAGAGAGAGACTGCCCTTTTGGGGGAGGGAGTTATGAGTGTGTCTGGATAAATACAAGAAAAACTGCTACGGCGGGTGTGCATGTTTGTGGTGGAGCAATCCCCCATGCACCCAGTGCTGCAATAAACATACCTACTTTACAACTTTCCGAGTTGTGGAGTCCGTGTCCACACATCACCTAAAGCTGTCCCTATTTCTAAATATCTTCTCTAATCCCTGCATCCGCCTCTTGGATCCTTTCATTTTTCTATGGAGGTTTTTAAAGGGATCCCATTTAAGCAAAGCTTGTGTTCTGATATATTGGGTTGTTTTCCTGTGAATTGGTGTGGACAGTTCTTGGGCTTGAAAGATGATTTTCAGAAAGATCAGCTCTACTGGTCTGAACTCTGTCGCCCTTGAGTGCTGCTGCCTATGAGATTCCCAATAAAAGTCCCCTGAAGAGGCTAAAATCTTCTCCTGAAGGAGAGCTTCCTGAAGAAGGAGAGCTCCTGAAGGAGAGCTGAGACCCCGTAATTTCATGGTCACTACAGTACATGCTCACTTTCGTCTTCACATCCCTGATCAGCCCTCCTTCTGCAAGGAC